TATGTGCGAGGTGTTTTTTCCAAATTAGTTTTCTTCTCATTCAAGAAGAAAGAGTTTGATAGGAATTTTTTCACCTCCAATTCCTACATATGTCAAGTTTCACTACATTTTTGTCTATCTAAACAGATCTCACTTGTAAATGAGTCTTCTAGGCTCAATGTGATTTATCTGTCTAAATAAATGTTGAACTGAATTGAAAATATGCCAGTCATTAATAGTGTGTGTGGATAGTCAGGACTTCTGCAGGTTCGGCTCTTATAAAACAGGCTGGTGTTTTACGGGTGACTTGACTCAGTGTGTGGGGCTAAATGAAAAATACCAACATGCTTCTTACTAAGTGGAAGTTTTAAAATCAGCCTAAAAGCATGAAAAAGTTCTGGAAAACATTTTGAAAATAGGTTTTACTGGTAATTAAAAAAAAAAAAACTGCTCCCACCCTCTTAATTTAATTGACATAAAGAAAATCAATAATGGTTGTTTGCGAGATCTTGAAATGATATTGTTTGCAGCTTTTGCTTCTTTTTCATATACTCTGTTCCTTTTCAGTTGGTGAGTGTTGTCTGTGGATGCAGTGTAATTTATATTTGCATAACATCTGCTGAGTTCATGTTTCCTGTGAGCTGTCTGCACTGCGCTGTAGCATTACGCTGCACCGTGTGCTGAGGTAATCCTCCCATCAGCCCAAATTATAACAAACCGTGAGCTCAATTCTGTTCATAACCATCCTTCTTCAAGTCTGCTTTCATTCCAGTGGGGAAATGTGTCGAGTAAAGCTGGAAACACGCATTTTGATCCTTTCACTTGCTGTTTTTTTAAGTCTGCGCAGAGACAACGTTAAAAACATAAATGTGATTCCATAAATTTCAGATCTTCACAAGCCCCAGACATTGACTCATAATAAATAAAAAATTGCATTTTATCTCCATTGGCCCCACATTTGTGTTTTTATCACCACAATCAACAAAAACATGTTGGTTTGTGTATCATTATTGAGCAAATGCCATAGAAAAAAATGGAGATAGCATCTGTTAACCCAGCGTCAGAGTCAGAGATTTATTTGTCATACACACCACATGGTGGTACATGTGGTGGGATGAGATTATGTACGCAGGGTCCCAGTTACATCCAACAATAAAATGTAAAAGAAAAACAGTAATAAGCTATGAACTAAGAAAAACATCAACTAAATAATAAACACTAATAGCATACAAACATAACGACCTACAGCAGCACGAACATGAGTGAGCAGATCAGCACGCATGAACACATCAACATGAAACAGATCAGCAGCAACATGATGTGATTATTTTGGTTAGAGAATCATGAGTCCAACAGCCTCAGGGTAGAAGCTGTTCCTCAGTCCAGTGGTTCTACACTTAATGCTCCTCAACCTCCTTCCTGAAGGTAGCGGGGCAAGAAGTGTGTATGCTGGGTGAGTGAGGTCCTTCATGATGCAGGTGGCCCTCTTCCTGCATCTAGAGGTGTAGGTGTCTGTGATGGTGGGGAGGCTGACTCCAACAGACTTCTGTGCATCCTTCACTACTCCCACTGACTAAACTAAGATGAACATCATCATCCTATGAAGTTTTTTTTTTTTTTTTTAACTTAAAAAGCATTCCTCTAGTTGATAAAAGTTGGGGCACTTCAGATCACGTCTTGCTGAATTTTCAGTAAGAATCAAGTAAAAAGAGAATATTTTCAAAAGATTTGGAGTTTAAAATGAGATGACGCTTGTGTATTTTAGGCAACGTTTTCTTTTTGTTTGCACCGTTTAGTTTCAGCACGTTTGTATTTTCTATAGTTAGTTTTTAGTAACGCAAACATATTTTATAGCCATCTCGAGCCTATATACGCTCACATTAGGGAGATGTTTCACCTTTTATTTTGCTTAAAGTTCCTAGCTGAGAAATGTCTGTAGTTGTCATGGTTTCACCCCCATCTGAAGTCTATTTACAGATTTGGAATGATGTTCAGCAAAAGACAACTACTGTCTCGTGTGGATGACTGTTGATTTTGAGGCGTGTTTAGGATCATAAGCTTGTTTTAGAAGCTTTTCTTTGGTGCCAGTCACTGAACGTTCTGTTTTAACTGGGCTTTTTTTTCTACAGGACTTGCTTTCAGGTGAGACTTTATTTAGACGTTTACTTATAAACCTTTGCAGGAAACATTTTCCCTTCTCTTCCACATGTCAGCGTCTTCACTGCTGCTGCTATTTTTCATTTGCATTACAAGCTGTGCAAGTGGCTGGTTACACCTCTGTATCTATCGGCATCATTTTACATTTTCCAAGTGCTGAACAGCTGCATAGGAGCACCCATCGTGCCTAATTGAACTAGTTTAGATGAGAGAAGAGATTCCATAAAGCTCTAGCCTTTACTAACAGCACCGTATTTTTCAGACTATAAGGCGCACCGGATTATAAGTTGCATTAAATGAAACAAAACAGTCAGATAAGTCAAACTTTATTCAACTCATTCACAATAACTCATCATTGTTCAGTTGTACCCTATAAAAATCGGTTCAAGGTCAGTAAGTACAACCAGAATTAATACATAAGGCGCACTAGATTATAAGGCTCACTGTCGATTTTTGAGAAAATTAAAGTATTTTAAGTGTGCCTTATTCAAATTCAAAAATACTTTATTAATCCCAAAGGGAAATTATTTGTTGTTGTAACTCGTTATCCTCATTTCATTAAGAGATGTTATAGATGCTGATGGCTGTAGACAGGAAGGATCTCTTGTAAAGGTCCATCCCACAGTGGATCCTAAGAAACTGGCTGCAGATGCCGTCCGATCCGTCCACCCAGAATCTGCTGGCCTCTCGGTTCCCTCGGGCTGTAGGACCACCCCAATGCTGGCAGAACTCCTCCCAGAGCGATGGCCACTCCTCCCAGCAGCCTGCTGAGCTCCTCGTCACTGTGGACAGCCAACTGTAGGTGCTGAGGGACGATACTGTCCTTCTGCTGTCATGAGCCGTGTTTCCTGCTAGTTCCAGGATCTCAGTGGTCAGGCACTCGAGCACAGCTGGCAGGTAGATGAGAATGCGTCCACATAACATCCTTTCAACTCATTTGAGATTTGGGGCTGTAGTTGAGATATTATTTGATCTTTTGAGATGTTAATCAGCTGCTGTTGGTTGTAGAAAACTGCCTTGTTGCCATGGTTACGCATCATAACAAATGTCCAAAACTAAAAAAGTTTCAGTAAAAATCCTTCCAGCTGCACAGCATCTGATACCAGAGGAAACAATCATCCAAAAAATGTAATTTACATCCAGAAAAAGAGGAATTAAAGTTTCCAAAAGCAAAATCTCAGAATGAAAGTAACAGAGCTGCTCCAACATGCAGCCACCTTGAGCGGCGCAATTCTAGAACACATAGTACACATTAACACATTAACATTAACTGCTGGTAATGCTAATGTTAATGTTGCACATTAACACATTATAGTCTGAAAAATACGGTAACTGCGCTTTAACGTGTCTGAGAGTTCAGGGTGTCTTAAACGTCTCGTCATACTCTCTTACATTTAACCAAAAACAATATGGGAAGTCTGTACGGACAATACAGTGACGTTCTGGGTCTAAACACTGTTCTGTTAAACATCAGTCAGAATGTGGACTGTAGGCTTTTTACAGTGATCCAGGATAGTTTCAGGCAAGCACAAGACCTGTGCACTGAGATCATCGTGACCCGGTGGCAGCCTGTTGGGTGAAGCGTGGACGCCGTGGTCACAGCAGAATTTCACATTTGCTACATTTAACTTTAGTATTGCTTGAACCCTCTGAAAACAAACTGAGTTACTTCAAACTGTACATTTAACATTTGTAGTTGGAACAATAAACAAGTTCCAGTGAAAAATGAGTAAACATTTACGTCCTATTTAAAAAAATGAATCAAATAAAATTAATAGATGAGATTTTGTGTAATGTCCTACAGATTTATAGAACCTGGTGAGATTACAGGAAAGCATCTCGGGGATGCAGGAATTATCAGGAAAAAACCTGTTTGAGTACCAAGACTGTGGCAGCGACGTGATTGTGACTAATGCAGGTGCATCTTAAATAATTAGAGCATCGTGAAAAAGTTCAATTTCTTTTGTCAGTCATTTCAGAAAGTGAAACTCATATTCCATAGATTTATTACACACAGAGTGAAATATTTCAAGCCTTTATTTCTTGTAGTTATGATGATTGATTTTATCTGAAAAGAGGACATTGGACCACTGAGTCCAGTTCTTTTTGTCCTCAGCAGGTAAGACGCTTCTGATGTCTCTGGTTCAGGAGTGGCTGCACTTGAGGTTTGAGACATTTGTAGCTCACGTCCAGGAGTTAATCAGCTGATCAGGGTGTGGCACCAGGAGTTTTTCAGCCATAAGCATCAAAATGACAAGAATTAAAGGCTTGACATATTTAACTCCGTGTGTAATAAATCTATGGAATACGAGTTTCACTTTCTGAAGCGATTGACGAAATAAACTGAACTTGGTCCACAATATTCTAATATTCTGAGATGCACCTATAGGTCCTCCTAACTGGTCACAGTCCAGACACCTAACAGGTTGCGCAGACCACAGAGAGCTTAGCGGAGCCCTAATCTAATCTGGAGGGGTTTTTTTTTAACGTGTTGTGCCATCATTTACATCATCACTATTCAAAATTATAGACATTTATTTCTCTGTTTGTCTGTAAAGATAAGCTAACCTAAAGCTAACATTTTATTGGATAAATAAATGTCAATAGCTGTGTTTTACTAAGGCCTGTTATCCACATTTTTATTTTTGTAGAAGTGGACTGGGCGCTCCACCCATAAAAACTTCAGATTATATAACCAACTCTGACAAAAACAGCCGCCGTGTGTTTGGTGTAAGGTATGTGGGCGGTCAGAGTGCAGCGCCAACCACAAAACTGTTTGCCCTGTGTGTTTTGGACCACTGTACTGTCGTGGAGCGAGAGAATCAGTGTGGATGCTATTTTTGTTGTTGTTTGTTTGTTTGTAGGAGCGTGGGAGTGGGAGCACCTCCAGGAGGCCCTGGAGGAGAAGCTAAAGAGTTCGCTCGCTGTGGCTCAGCTTATGGAGCGCATACGCTCCCTCGTCGGCAGAGACAGGGTGAGAGCCTGTTAAATAATATCATTAAATATCAAAAGACAGAAAAACATTGTGTCGTGTGTAACGTGGGTTAAATGGCTCAATGCCCGTCTTTAATGTGCAGACATGTTCTTGTTGCAGACTGACTTAATTAGCAATCTGTGCAGTAATAATAGTGTTATCATATTTACATAATTAGTGCCTCTAATCACCTCACAGATACTCGGGGAGTTTGCACAAAATAAACAAGAGCTTTTCTCCAAGGATCAAAGGCGTAACAGGATCTGGAAGAACTTCACGCTCGCACCAAAGCCTGCTTTTAGACTGGAGCATCATTGTCTGTGGCTAAACTTAGAAAGCATTTAAAAGGCTGCAGAGTTTTAACATTTAGTGAGGGTTATATGACTTGGCTGCATCTGACAAGCCCCTTTTGGCACTATAGGAGCAAGCGCCCAAGCCAGGAGGATAGAAGTGGGTCTTCTACCTGAGGCGGTGTTGAGACGAGCTGACACACAGACAGAGGGGCCACTTTAACGTGATGAGACACCATAATGTCCTGTCGTGATTTGACGTGCTCCTCTGCAAACAGCCTCGGGGGGCTGTCTCCACTCTGGGAAACTCGTCGAATTTAACTTTCGGTGAGCTCTCCAGAATCAAAGACGGTCTCTCTCTGCGCTGGAGATAATCTGCTCGTCTCCCTGCAGCAGAGCAGTGTGGGAATGTGAGCCGTTTGTGCTTCAGTGGGCTGATTAAAGGTCGAGCAATGGTAATGGGCTGCTTTATGGTTTCATTTGTTGACCGTGTGTGCGTTGTGCAGACACCCTCTCAACCTTTCTTATTTAAGTTGTTTTATCGCTACGGTGCCGATCGCGTTGTTTGGGCCACTCGTTCGTTAAAATACTTTAAACGAGCTGGGATGTTTGGAGAATATGTGGTCTGGACAACCGTCTGGTTCCCACTCTGCTCTCAGTAGCAGCCGGTTCCAGTCTCGTCACTCCTGACGTTGCAGTTCAAGCGTGTTTTTGTAGCATGAAGCGAGACCGGCGGAGGAGCCATCTGTATTCTGCGGAGGAGGCGCAATAGATGCTCAGCATGACAATTCTGCTTGTAACGAGAAGCTGACATGCAGCAGAGAAAAGCTAAACTCCAGATGACTAATTGTTCTGGCTTTGGGCTCCATTCTCTCCCTCCCTTGGTGTGTGTATGTGTGTGTGTGTGTGTGTGCAGGGTCCCAGGGACACACCGAGTGCACGGGCAGCTCAGCTCGGCCCCCAGACTCTTGTCAACCTCTTTAATTCCCCTCTCTTCTCAGACGTCATCTTCATGGTGCAAGGTAGGATCAGGCTGATCGGCTAAACACACACACACACGTTCTTGTAAACATACTGTTTGGGGACTTTGCATTGACTTCCATTCATTTTCTATAGCCTAACCCTGACCCTTACCCTAAACCTAACCATCACTAGTACATGCCTAACCCTAATCCTAACCCATCTGCAATTCACACCTTAGTCCTAACCCTAACCCCCCAACAAGACTTAACTGGCTTTGGTTCCCATAAAGAGCAGTTAGTTCCCACAATGATTTTTTGTAAAGTTTTGTAAAGTTGGTCCCTACAGGGTAACCTAAAACAAAAATATGCACACACCCACACAACTGAATTATGGTCCCAGCCTGGTTGTCCATTTGAAGCCTAAACAGGATAAAACTGTAGAAGTGACGCACGTCTTTTTTTTCTGTGTAATCTCGACAAAAGCTCCTCTTCTTTATTAAGCTGAGAAGTACAGACAAAGGCCTCTCCTGATCAATATTTATCTCATAAAAATGCAGCGAGCCTTCTCGGCCTGTTCACCCTCTGAGCTGCGAGTTAAACTTCTAGAGGTTAAAGAGAAAAATCTTTTTGGGTTGATCCTGTTTGCCATGCTGCCCGAGCAGAGCTCTGACTGGGAAACAAATGCACGTACTGTCAGAGACGATGGCAGGACTTCACATGTTTTATCACCTGACAGCGGGCTTGTTTCAGTTTGTTCTGTAGCGTTAGTAATGCACCTTGTGATCCACTGAACTATTGCAACTCTTCAACGTATCGTAATCATCGGATAAACATCTACAACTGGTTAACTTGCGAAGCCAGTCTAATTCAAGATGGCTTCCACAGCTAAGCGACCAGTTACCCAACACAAAAATGGCTTTACCCAGTCAGTTTTACGGCTCTTGAGCTAAGAGATGCTGTGGTAGTAGCTGAGTCTGATCCATATACTCTGAACGCTAACGGATTATGCAAACTTTTTGAGATTTTGTCGTTTGGTGTGCTATTGCTAACACGCCTCCCAATATGGCGAGCATCGCATAATTTACAATGTTAGCCTAAACTGCTATAACCTCGTCCGTCGTAAGATCATCTTCTCGTAAAACGAGTACAAAATCAGGTGGTGGTAGGTGGTCACTGGAGTCACGCGGAACTGTGTGGATATCAGGTAAAAAGAATACTGTAATGGTACTAGGAATATCTCTGCTGGGTGCTGTGGTAACAGTGGTCTGTGGTGGAGGTTTTGGAGTCCTGAAGCTCTGAGTTCGAGCACAGGTTGTGTCAGGAATGATATCTGTGGTGTGTATATCGTGGGTGTCCAACTCTGAGAGAAAAAATCCACAAGCGCTCTGACGTGAATGTGAATCGGGGCTTTCCGCCTTGCTAGCTCAGCCAGCAAGTTTGTCAGCAAGGCGGGAAGTCCTGCTCTGATCTTGCTCTTCTCTGGCGCCATGTAGGCAGTAGAGAAAGAGTATTACCAGTTAGCAAGCTAAACAGAAAGTCTTGTGCTGTTCAAACCTTGTCAGCAAGGCTAAACGGGGAAGAACGAACTTAGCCGGTTAGAAAGCTAAACAGGCTAGAAAGTCAGCTAGGCAGAAAAGTGACCGTTAGCTGGGCTAAACGGGGTAAGCAGATGCTGCAAGTTAGCAGCTAAATGAGCAGCAGGCAGGATCAAAGTTGTAGCGACGCCCTGGGCAGGGAGCGAGCTCACCTCCAGTCGGACAGTTAAGCCACATGCAAGGGACCTGCAGTCAGGTTAAAGTGAGGTGAAGTGCAAAAAGATTAGGGAACTGAGACCACGCTGCACATTTATAACCCAGGAGGGCGTTGGCCTCGACAGGCGCGTTGAAAGGAACTTCTTCAGGTTGGTCTCGCGACGGCGCAATCCCCCATACTGTGCTGTACCGAGTGTACTGACCGAAAGGGACCACTGTAAAACAACTGCCACATCTTTCACGCGTCTTCTCGCTGTGGCAGCCGCTGCAGAAAACAACAACTGTCAAGTAATTTGTTATATTTATCTGTTAAGGAGACGTTTTGACGCCAGCAGTGTCTCCACTCATTGTCTAAGACTAGAGACATTTGTTAGAAACCAGCCAGGTCCATTGAACCCGTTGAACATTTGTTTTTGTGTGTGCGATGAAGGAAGTGTATTGCCCGCCCATCGCGCGGTGCTGGTGGCCCGCTGTGACGTGATGGCGGCCATGTTCAGTGGAAAGTACGCAGAGGCTCGGAGCAGAGTGGTTCCCATCCACGGAGTCTCCTCGGACACCTTTCTGTCCTTCCTGGAGTACCTCTACACCGACTCCTGCTGTCCTGGTGAGTTCACGACACGATCCACAGGCGCGCTCCACAGTGGTCTGAACCGTGGCTTCGTTGTTGGTAAACAAATAATGAGCCATCTGTTGTTGTTTGTCGAAGATGGGAGGCTGCAACCTGTGGCTCTCTTGTAGCTTTAATCAAAATTAACATAGAAATGAATGTTTAAAAACCATAATAGGCATAAATTATTATTATAGCAGCTCTTTTATCCAGATTTCTGCAACAAGTGAATACTATTTTTGTACCAGAATGATACTGTTCATTTTATTTAGTGTGAAAAAAGGGGCAGAATTAGATTTTTTAAATGTTAAATTTGCAGACCCCTGATCTAAGGCTTTTTTTAAGACTTGATTCATATCTTTTAAGGCCTGATACCATAAAAAAACAGGTTTTACTAGATTGTTACCAAGATTGCACAACATAATAATCATAACTGAGTGTATTGAATGAAGTCAAAGCCTGACGACCAACAAAATGAATAACTAATAGAGTTGATTAATTTGTAACGGAGGTGAAATTCACTGCACGCTGTGCGAATGAGCGCCTTGAAGAAATCAGAAAACACTGGTGCATTCATGTTTTCCTCTGGGCTTTGCCGGCAGAACTAAGCCCCACACAAAGACGCAGATGACAACACCCATCATCCATCTGTGCGGGTGCAACAAGCTGCCAGCCTCAGTCCCGGGAGGTGCACGGCGAACAGCACCGAGCTTAAAATTAAATTAGATTTTGTGGGTACATAACCAACCTGTGGCGTCACTGCTTCTCTGCCTCTGATGGAGCCAAGTCACAGCCACACGTTGTTTTCTCCGGTCGCACTGCGCGTTTCATCTTCACAGTTGTTCGTGCACGTTAATACACACCCTGTAGTCACTGTGAGGCGCATCCAGCACCGTAAAGTTATGCTGAGCAGAACGGACGTCCTGACTGATCACAGCATAAAAACAAGCACGTTTCTGTTGCTCCTCTCTGTTGCTTGTTGTGTGGATGTTTGACGCATTCACACCGCTGTGTTGTGAAGTGTGATCCATTTTCTTCCGTACGTTTTCAGCGCAATTCTTGTCCTGCAGTTTTCAAGATATTTCACCAAATCATAAATCAAAACGTTCAGCTCTTTCAGGACAGTCCTGCTTTGACTTTTGTTATTGGTGCAACTTTAGCTTTTTGAAATATTTAGCCTTTTCTGCCACTTTGTTCCTTATGGGAAATGAATTGAGCTCATTTTACATCCTTCGAATCTTTAGATCTGTTACACCCTTTTACTGCTCCTTTCACATTTTGTTCTGGTTCAGCTTCCTTGTGCAAATTTAAACGTTTTTCAGCTAATTTCAGCTGTTTTTTCAGCTGTTTTGTGCTCCTTTCAGATTCTTTCTGCTAACTATAACATTGCGCTTCTTCTAACTCTTTTCTGCCAGTTTCAGCCTTTTATGTTCCTTTCAGCTTATTTCCGCAAGTTTCAGCTTTTTCAGCTACTATGTTTTATACTAATGTTAGCGTTTTCAACTAATTCCATATTTTTTGCACTCAAACTTTTTTCAGCCTAATTCAGTAAAAATGTGCTCTCTCTCCACTTCCTTCTTATAATTCCCAGCTTCTTTCCAACTTTAAAGTTATTTTTCAGCAGTTTTTTTTGTTTTAGCTAATTTTAGCTTTTTTCAGATAATTTCCACTTTTTTTGCGCTCATTTCCTCTTCTTTTAACCTAATTGGGCAAATGTTTTTTCTGCTTTCTTCTTCTAATTTAAGCTTGTTGTACATTTTCAGCTAGTTTTATAGCATTTTTTAGCCATTTTCAGATAAATTCAAGTTTTTTTGTGGTAATTTCTGATCTTTTCAGCCTAATTAACTTATTTTAGCTAATTTCAGCTTGTTATGCTCCTTTCAGCTTTTTCTGCTATTTCAGCTACTTTTTTTAGCGGTTTTGTGATAAATTTAGCTTTTTCAGCTACTGGTAATTCCCCATTTTTTTAAGCTCATTCCAGCTCCATTCTACTTCCTTTTGGTAGTTTAAGCTTCTTTCTGCCTTTTCAGCTACTTTTCAGCAATTTTTACTAAATTCCTTTTTTTTTAAGTTAATTTCCTAATTGTTGTGCTCATTTATAAAAAACCTAATTCAGCAAATATGTGCTCTTTCTGCTGCTAATTTAGGCTTGTTCTTCCATTTCAGCTACGTTTCAACACATTTTTAGCCAATTTCAGCTGTTTTTCAGCAAGTTCTTCAGCAATGAGCATTCACACTGCATTTTCGCAGGAAATGCAATTTCTCTCGTTTGAATTGCGTCTCCTTGCCTACAGGCCCATTAAACATTATGCTGAAGTCTCTTTTTTTATGTGTATTTTGAAAACGTTCTGTCCTCTAATGGTGAACACGTGCCGCATGTTTTTTGAGTTACCCTTTTACAAAAACATCTGAAGTACAAGTTTTTGTTTGTGCTTTCCAATAAGATAAAACCCATGTTTAGGCCTCATGTCAAAGCTTATAAGGATTCTTATAGACTCTAAAAGAACCAAACATGTATTTTTATACTAAGATTTTAATTGCAGATTGTATTATCCCACCATCAGTCAAATATACTATCCGAGTAAACAAATTATTATTAATCAGCTCCCAGCAGCTAATCATCCCATTACCATGTCGCAGTATTTTTTTAAAATAAAAAGCCAAATAAATGGCGTTAAGGATGCAGCTGCGTGAATAGATATCTCCATTTTCAGAGCTGTGGCTTCACGTAGACTCCTAACCCGAGAAAAGGAAAAACTTTGAAGCAGCTTCGGAGGCTGCAGTCTGTTATGTAAGAGCCCAGCTTTCAAGGTCAGGTCAAGGTAACTCTGTTAGCGTCAAGGGTCAGACGTCAAGCAAGAGGGCTACCAGAGCATTTCACCTGGGTAATGTGTCCTGAACATGTGAGAGGAGACGCACTTCATGCTCGTTAGAGTAATTGTGCAGCGAGACAGAGGTTCTGTGATGCTGCTGCTCAGCTGACAGCAGCATCACACACAGAGAGAGAGACGGTGAGCATGTGAGCATGTGCAGACTGCTGAACGTGGTGTCTGGCATGATTCACATGAACTGGGCTGCAGCAGAGAAAATGTGATCCGGTAATTCACCGTCATGCGTCAATCTGTGTCATTTGGTAAAATAAAGATGGCTGAACATTTAGACTCTGTATTTGTCGTGATATTAGAGGGTTTTTGTGAAAGTCCAAGATGTTGCACAGGAGGTCTGCTGCAGTTAGAAATACACGCTGCAGTGTTTGCCTTGAAAAGTGCTCATGATGTGAAGTGGAAGGAACACCGTAAAATGGTTTTCAACATATTTTTAGAAATAAAAATCTGAGAAGTGCAGCGCTCATCTGTATTCAGCCTTCCCTGAGGCACTACTTCGTGGAACCACCCTTGTGCTGCAGTTAAAGCTGGAAGTCTTTTGGGGTTTGTCTCCACCAGCTTCACACCTGAAGACAGAAAACCGTCCGCATTCTTCTTTGCAAAACAGCTCGAGATCAGTCGGACTGGATGGAAAGAGTCTGAGCAGCAGTTTTCAAGTCTCCTTTAGATTTGGGTCTGGACTTTGACCGATCCATTCTAACGTATAAATGCGCTTCGATCGAAGTCAGTCTGTTGTACATCTGGACAGATGTTTCGGGTCATTTTCCTGCTGGATGGCAGCTTCCAACAGATTTGCCATGTACTCAACTCTGTCCATGATTAAATGGTTGATTGAACAGAGCTCTGTGACGTGTCCAAAGCTTGGGATGTTGTTTGAAAACCTGACTCGGCTTTAAGCTTCTCAACAGATTTATCCCTCACCTGTCTGGTGTGTTTCTTGGTCTTCATGATGCCGTTACATCCCCACTGCTCTGTAAAAACAAAAAACAACAAAAAAAAAAGAGGCCTGCTGGATTTATACTGAGATTAAGTGACAAATGGATGGACTTTATTTACTAATTATGTGATTTTTTAAGTCAGAAAGAGGCAGAACACCTCGCACTTGACAGAATTCTAATTTTCTAAACCATTTCACCTTTTTTTTTTTTTTATTCTTTCTGCTTCACAATTATGTGCTATTTTGTGTAGATGAATAAGACCCCAGTAAAACACTGAAGCCTGTGGTTGTAATGTGGAGAACTTTTTTCCTTCCATTTTTATTTCTTGTTTTTAAAAATGCGCACATCTGTATTTTCTTCACACAAGACAAAGTGAAATAACGGACAGCGCTGTGTGTGTGTGTGTGTCCAGCCAGTGTGCTGCAGGCCATGGCCGTGCTGGTCTGTGCCGAGATGTACCAGGTGAAGCGACTGCAGCACCTGTGTGAGGTGTGCGTGTGCGCGTACCTTCAGAGCATGCCCAGTAGGGAGCTGGCGTCGACAGGCATCAGCGTGGTCCGGCTACTCCGCAGAGCAAAGGTCAGTGTGTGTGTGTGTGTGTCCTGACTCAGATACATCTCAAAAACATGGTTTCCAAAGATTTGCACTCATTTCACGTTTCTCTTGGTTCTCAGTGCCACAACGCAGAGCAGCTGTACGTCTGGCTCCTCCACTTCATCGCCAACAACTACCTGATCTTTAGTCATAAACCAGACTTCCTGGAGCTCTCAGGTCAGTCCGAACCGAGTGTGAAGATCTTTTTATGCAGAGAAACAACATTTTAGCTGCTTTTGGTTTCCCTGCCAAGATGTCACGCTCGGGCTGTGTGCCGTGATGACTCTCAGCTACCACCACGTCAGATTCTAGCTCCAGATCTGTAAAAACTGAATTAATGCGGAGTAGCTGTGGTGGCCATCTTGGTTTTGGTTGATTCCAAGAGTTCATCAGTTGTAGATGCACATGTATTGATTATTTTATGCAAGTTTCATCAAAAAATATTCAGCTGAGCAATCGGCAAAATATTATTCACAAGCGCAAAAAAAGTACCGCATTTTTCGCTCTACACGTCACATTTTTTGCTAAATTTGCATGTCCTGCGACTTAGACCCAAGCAACGTATTTATGCATTTCCCCCTATATTTATAAACCAATTTTTGGCTGAGATATGACCGTTTTCATTCATTCTGAAAAATGTGAACACTACCATTTTCAGCCACTTGATGGCAGCAGAGTAGTAGTAGAAAAATTCATGCCGTTGTGTCAAGTAATGGGTAAAAGTATCCAATTCAAAAAAGTTCAAGACAAAAATGACTTGGCTTTATTATACTTTATTGTTTTTGTCTTGAACTTTTTTGAATTTACCATGTCCGGGATGACAGAGAATCTTCACCAGCTATTAATGACACGAACGGCTTGCCATAATCTGACACCTTGGTTCTGCTCGCTGCTCGGCCCAAGTCAAACCAGCTTCATTTCGCTGCATCTCCCTGGCAAAATGCAGCCAATTTGACCATTAAAGCGCATTTATTATGTAAAAGTTCAACTGAGACACACCTTTACTATAATGTCGAGCAAACAAACAATTGTTTTTAGGTGGACATCTTGTTAAATTTCAAAGAAATGAGCAGCGACTCGTCCCTCTGCGCATTCCTGCTTCCGCGAATCAAGTTTTGAAACGCAGCTGATTTGACCGTCAAAGTGCATTTATTAAGTAAAAGTTCAACTGAAACACACCTTTACTATAATTTCAAGCAAACAAATAAAATTGTTTTTAAGTGTTAATCTTGTTAAATTCTTGTTAAAGTCCTCCCGTGCACGCCCCAGCAGCCGCCATTTGGCAGCCAATCGATTTTTGGCACACCGGCCCACATTTCTGGGTTGTCAGCGGTGACGCGTAATAGATGCAACATATACGGGGAAGCGACATATTTATGGATTTTTCCACTTTTTTAGACATATTTGGACTGATGCGACTTATAGGGCGGAGCGACGTTTACGGCGGAAAATACGGTAGCTAAAATAGGTCTCAGGAAGGACCAAAACATTATCAGCTGCATTTTGCCTTTAGGTTGTGAGCAGCACCTGTGAAAACCTCCATTTTTCTTCTGTCTTACGTTCCTCTATATGGTAGTTATTTATATTTTAATCTCTTTCCACAGTAAATCCTACTGATACTCCCCATTTATGCTTGTGATTTGTGCATTTATCAGGCAGCTAAAAGCAGCTAAAACAGGCCAATTGCAAAGATTAACAGCAACATTAGTAGCAGAAGCACATTTTATTGCGGTCATCAGTCATACAGGACTCGTTTATGGCCGTTGGACGGATTCTGAAGGGCACACGCTTGCTGATGCTTGTTAGTGGAAACAAACTCTTTGGTATTTCATCCCTTTTGGCCGTGTTTACGGCAGCAAGCTAAGCTGTTACAAGTGTTTGTGGAGCGGAGAGCGTGTGCCAAGCACAGTAAATCTTCGTGGCGTGCCTTCTCCATCAGCAGAGCGTGGTTGGGATGCTTGTGCGGCGAGTAACAGCTTCGCGTCTTTGTGTTGCAGAGGAGGAGCGTGAGCAGGTGGAGAGGCTCCGCTGGCCATCCAGGGGATACCTGCAGGAGCTCAGCGAGTACCAGCAGCGACGGCGCAAGCTACGCAAGTCTCGCTGCTTAGTCATGTGACCACACCTGCAGGCCTAAACCCTGCGGAGAGAGGGAGGGGCAGAGAGGGAACAACAAAAATGTGGATTACAGCTGGACTTTGTTGGACAACGTAGCAGATAGTGAACATCACAGACTGATCCCAGATGTGAAGCGCCTCTCCACCTCTAGAGGAAAGACTCTTTGTACAAGAACTACTTCACCTTGGGCAATACAGACTGATCCTTAAAACCCAGAATGAGTTCAACCCGACCGTCTGGCCTCTGATCAGAGGCTCTGTGATAGATTATATTTCTACTCGTAGCAGCAAAACACATCAAACACAAAGAGGCAAAATAAACTCACACGGCATTAAAGTAGCATCAGATTTCCAAACATGCTTGAAAACAAACCAGCATTTTGTGGAAGTTTCAAATAAAATCCGGCTAAAAATGTAGGAATTGTCTCGTCTGTTAAATACAGACACAGAATAGCTGCAAGATGAGATCAACCCACAATGCATTTGGGTTCTGATGGATGTAAAGATGGCCAACATGTCCACTTCCTGCATATCTCCACTAGGACCATTTCTGGAGTCTTCAGACGTCCAGGCGAGCGCTGACCAACATGAAGACACGGAGGAGAGCTGACGCAGCTGGGAGCGCCGCCTCACTCGTCGCTCCGTAAATACGTCAGATTAGCTTTTGAGCAGGACCAAGTTCACGAGCCCCATTCAGTTATTTGACATTTAAAATGCATCGCCAGTACAAATACTTTTTTTTTATTATAATACCAGATAGAATATATTTTACTCATAGCCTCTACAAAGAGAGGCCATTTTGCTTTTACTGGAAAAACATAAATAAATAAAAAGTATTGAAAATGAATCCTTGAATTTAAATTTTTACATTTCTTCTCAACCTTTTGTAAAGGTCGAGAAGTGCAACATGTAAATAAAAACAGAAGGCGATGATTTGCAAATTGTACTGCTTTTTCTTTCTTTAAAAAAAAAAAAAAAGGTTAATTTTGAATTTTATGGCAGCAACACGTCTCAAAACACTGGACAGCACCACGACTAGCACCGTGCAGCATCTCTTCTCATTTTAAAGTCTACAGCAGGGCCGGCCCACGGGCGACTTCTGTTTATTGCATTTATGATTCAATGCAATAAAACTTTTATTAAGTTAACAGATCATCTTGGTTTATTTACATAATGACTTTAAATGCTGGCTGTCTGGCACCTAAGCTGCTGGCTTTCAGTAACTGTGGCCCCCCTGAGCAGTTTAGCTGAACAGTCCTGGTCTACAGTCGGTTTCCTGGACGTTTCCAGTAGTTGAGGGACTGAGGACCAGCTGCTGGAGTTTTTGAAAAGAAATGTTCAGTCTTGTGTGATTGAGGGTTCCAGCTGTTCAACAGTCCTGGCTCTTTGACGGGTTTTTCATTTCATGAAAACACAGAATGTTTTCAGCCGATGAGCGGCCTGGACTGAAGGCAGCCAGTTCAGCACCTCTCTTCCACTTCAAAGCCATGCTGCCATGATGGATGCAGTCTGTGGTTGGATGCAGTCTGTGGTTGGATGCAGTCTGTGGTTTCACATTGTCTCGTTGAAATATGGAAGACATTCCCTCAAAAAGGTCGGGACTTGTTCTAAAACCATCTACACCTTTCTGCATTTGGAGGTGCCTTTCCAAATGTGCAAGCTGCTCATGTTTTGGCACTAATGCACCCCCATAGCATCAGTGACGCAGGTGTTTGAACTGTGTACCGATAACAGGCTGGAGGGTCCCTTTCCTCTTTAGTATGGTGTAGAGTTTCATTCGGGCCCAAAAATTTTGATCCAGCTTGTAGCTATCATTTCCAAACGCCACCCGACTCGACAAATTAACAGTAATGACAGGTCCGCTGGTGATTGTATGGCAAGCCATGTTACCATATAATTGTACCGTCAGCCGCGCTTGTCCGCTGATGCAATCAAAAGCCCGACATCGACCCGCACATCATTATGGCCCAGCCTTAATGGAGGTGGGGCGGGGCCACAGCTCTAGTACGGAGATGGTTTCTATAAAGATTTCAAATGTTGATTCATCCGACCACAGAACAGTTTCCACTCGGTCTCAGATATTTTAAAAGAGCTTTAAGTCACAGAAGACAGGAGCGTCGTCTCATCATATTACCCCTTATTTGTTGTCAGTGAGTTTAATCAGATGAAAACAACTTGTTTTGTTGTTTCTTATTGTACCACTTTTAGAAACTCTCGCTGCCCCGTCCTGTTTTTAGTTTTAGTTTTCTGCCATAAAAGTCAAAATCGCCTTTTCCTCTCAAATTTCTTAAACATTTGGATTTTTCCTCCCATTGTGAATAAAACCAATTTTAGCTCTGGGATTTACAAATGATTGCGTTCTGGTTTTATTTACTTTTTCCACAACGTCCCGTCTTGATCAGAACCGGGGGTTTTGTTTGATGCACAAGCAAGTGCAGAACAATAACTGTTGTAATTTACTTTTTTATTATTTTTTACATCTGTTGAGTTTATATCATTCCCTTGGAATATAAAACTAAAAACAAGACGCAGGTCTTTATCTGGACCAACACAGAATTAACTCGTGTCTCTGGAAACCTCGCTGCCTCTGGCTGAACAGACTTCATTTCGTTGACTCGGTTCTTTTTGCTGGACTGTTTTAAAACGAGATCATGATTTATGGTGCTGCAATTATTTTTGTAAACTATACAATGTGTGTACGTTTTGTCAAACATGGTTGCCCTTCTTTACAGTCTAATGTTTCACCTCTATTTACCAAAACGTTTCAAGGAAATACCACAAAAAAAAATCAATAATGACATTTGTCTTATAGACCTTGAACAAAATTAAGATATTAGGAACTTTTAGCAGCTATCTGTACACGCCACGTATTTATATTAGCATATAGTCGTCACCACAGCAGCTGGAACAGTTTGTGTCCAGTTCTGGGAGTATCTGGGCATCATCAGTCGAGATATCACTGTGAGATTAAGACAGAACAGAAGGGACATCAGTCTGTATCTAGAAGCCAACTGTACGTATCGGAATAATTAGTGCATCCGTAAATAGCAGGTGAAACTCTGGACTGTGAAATGAAGCGTACCCAGCGCTGCATCTGCTCCCGTTCATCTGGGCCCGAGCTGTACAGACCGTAGATGACTTTAAATAAAGACATGTTTTAGAACGAACACCCGCTCGTGTGCATGGTGTCAGTCTAGTTATTATGGGTGAAAAGAACCGCTCCTCTTAGGCTGGTGGTGGAGTCAGCTCCTCAGGCGTTTGCTAAGAAATCAACTTTCAATGAGACTGCTGCTCTGAAGAGAAGAATGTTCTGTCAGACAAGTAAATGTGCAATATCCCCACTGATCTGAAGTAAACAAAAATATTTCAGCAATGTGAGCTCAAGTTCCTCAAAGCAACCGAACACTACCACCCAGTGGCCCGACGTGTCGTATCTGAACAAGCTGCTTGGGTTGTCTGTAGAGTGGAAGTTCCTGTAAACGTATTAAATTATTATCCAGCATGCTAACTCGCTTCTTTCAAAGATCAAGTAGGAGCAGAAGGCGTGTTTAGATATTTTACCTGAGCAAAAACAGGTCTGAACCTTCTCAAAACGAGAGAAATCCTGCTTTAAAGAAACAACTGGTGACTCCATTATGACTGTTTTAATATTAATGTGATGACGTCGTCAACACCGAATCACTGCCAGGCCCCTTTGACCTACATCCTCCCTACATCTGGACGGAAATAAATCTTTTCTAGCCCCTCTCTGTTATAATAATAACTACATATACTATAAAATGCAGGTTTAGGAAGGTCACCATTATTATTCTCAGACACCAGATTTGTCCTCCAGTGACCGACGTAGAAGGAAGTGACACGGTGCAACACCTCCATCCTTCCTATTCCTACTCGCACGGACAGCCTGACTTTATAAAACCGCTTGTGGTGATGAGGAGATTCAACAGCACGGTGTGAGCAGCGTTTCTGCACCTGGAGGTTTGACGCAGATCACCGCAGGGCCTCTATAGACTTCAACATGGCCTCCAGCTTCCCGCTCCTGTGCAGCGCCGACACATCAGAGCCGCCCCCGATGCAGCTCTCGCCGATGAACACCCGCGGGACCTGCGTTTCAGGAGGAAGAACAGGAAGGCAACTCATGGAAATGAGGCTCAGGAGAAGATACAACCTAAAGAAGATGCATCTCCTGTGAAAATGCAGTGTGAATGCTTATTGCTGAAGAACTTGCTGAGAAACAGCTGAAATTAGCAACAACAAAAAAATCTAAAATGTAGCTGAAATGGAAGAACAAACCTAAGTTAGAAGAATTCAGAAAGAACACGTTTACTGAATTAGGTTTAATTTAAATAAGCAGAAATACCAAAAAAAGTTAGGAAATTAGCTAAAAAGAGGCTGAAATTTGCACCAAAAAAAAAAAAAAAAGCTGAAAAGACCGGAAGAAGCTTAAAATACCAGAAGGAAGTGAAAAGAACTGAAATGAGCTTAACAAAAAAATGTGGAAAAAACTGAACATGCTAAAATTAGCATCAAAAGAGCTAAATAGTAGCTGAAAGAGCAGAAAAAAGCTGAAAGGAGCATAAGCTAAAATTTGCATAAAGAAGTTAAATGGGCTGAAAGTATCGGCAGTAGAAATTAACATTAAAAACTTGAATTTATCTGAAAACAGTTGAAATTAGCTAAAAAAAAAAAAAAGCTAGCTGAAAAGGTAGAACAAGCTTAAATTGGGAGAGGAAAGCAGAAAGAACATGTTTGCCCAATGATGCTCAAAGAAGCAGAAATGAGCTTAAAAAAGGAAGTCAACATTAACAAAACGCTTTCTTTTTGTTCCCACCACGAGTCACAGAGTGTCTCGCAGTCCTCGTTTCCTGTTCTTAATCCCGTTACTGAACTTCAACGATGATTCAGCCGCTTTTAACAGCCGAGGAAAATGCTTTCGGCTCGGTGCCATATTTCTCCTGCAGGCTTGATCCGTTTCAGCTGGACGTCAAACTTCTTGTACACACGTTCAAAATAAAGGGCCTCTCTAATCAGCTCGTCTGTAGGCGACGCTCCATTTGACCCCCCGAGCGTTATGAACGCTATGAAGTCCCTTTCAGCAGGAGGGAGCAGATGAAGTGAGCCACAAAGCTTTTTATGTTATCTTCATGCAGCAGATAACTGGATCATGGATCCTAGCGTGTTTTGAAACATCCTGTAATGGGATCTAATAATCTAATCTATACCTGGATTATTGAGCATGGACTTTGTTGATTACAGTTTATACAGCTGCATTGATAAAAATGGATAAATATTTGACAAATAAAAATGCCAGTGATACAATTATATTATGGCCATACACTACAGTGTATAATAGGGTGTTAATGGCAGTTTTATAGTTAAAACAAAAGTTTTCAAGATGCATTTTCTACATTTGTGGTTTTCCACAATGGAAAGCCCAGTTTTCCCAAATTAAATTTTGCATAATGAATGCATAAACTGACAATAAGCAAAATAAAAGAGTTAATCGTCTCATAAATTGTTCCAATCTTCTTATGTCACTGCAAGTCTTCTGTATTTTATATCACTTAAACTCTGTGGCATCTGCACACAAGGCCTACTCTTCTAGACATATCTATGACATCTGAGCAAAGCTGATAAATTAATACCATTGCGATTTAATTATAACTTATATTTTAATAATAGTAACAATAATATACAATAATTATTATTTTATTAACAGTGAAATATATTGTAATTGTATGTTGCAACCATCCCCACAATGTTGCAACTGTTCCCCGGCCCAGTTGCAACATCTGGCTCCTTACATTCACATGCAAATAGTAAAGAATGTACTTTATCTTTAAATGGTTTTGATTATTAACAGATAGATGTAAGTTTATTATGTAAAAAGTTGGTTTGTCTAATCCAAACCCTCTGAGTAACAGAATCAAATGTAAAAAAGTGTAGCAGCTGTCCCTACTCTTCCTACTAAAACTGTTTATTATTAATTGTGAAACTGAATACTTTTTACTCAAATACATATTAGCACTACTTTTTGCCCCATTATTTAAAATCAATTAATGCAATCTGTGTGCTATTATCCTTACTACTATTATTAATAATAAATACCTTTTTGACTAATATGACTGACAATTGGATTTCTGTAGCAGTATAATCCACATACTCGAGATTATCAGCTGTAATTCGGTGCCATTAGCCGTTTAAATCTCAGTTTAATTATAAATGGACATAAAGAGCTGTGCTCATTTACCGTGCGGGCTCCGGTAATTTCCCGGAAGTAGTCCTGAATGCTGTCCATGTCTTCGTGTCCACTGATGTCCACAAACTCCAAATGTCCCGGTTTGAAGTTGTATTTGGACAGAACTTCTTCGGCCATGGTGCAGTACGGACACGTAGGTTTTAGGAAAACCACCACTTTGTCGCCTTGAATCTGAGCCTTCACGAACTGCTGCGCCATCTTGGCTCCTTCCGGAAACAGAGGGGCGGGTCATAATGAACAGCCCGTCTTTCTTCTTCTTCTGTTTCTATTGGCGGTTGGCAAACTCAAGCACAATATCGCCACCAACTGGACTGGAGCAGTAAATAAATAAGGCGACATGAATTGAGCATGGACTTTGTTCTAATTGTAAATAACTTTACTGTATATGTTGGCTGATTTATCGTCATAGAGGCCTGTTAAAGACAAAACGTTTTAAAAAAAAAATAAAATCCGTCCAGAAGATCTGACTTAACATTTAAAGGTGAAGTCGATGTTTTTCTTTTCTTAATGACTGAAATAGATCTCTTTAGATAAAGTATTTATTGCAGAGCAATGCATGTTATTCTGCTTCTGGTTGGTTACAATGTGCACATGTTCCTGCTGGATGTGTGCCTGTTTTATATAGTGTGGCGAGACACAAGTGTTATTATATTATGTTGGGTTGTATACCTGGATTATTGAGCATGGATTTTGTTAGTAGTGTGATTACATTTTCTTCTTCTCTGTTCCACCTTGTTTTCCTTCCTAACCCACCCCGTGTTCGTGTGCGGTCTTCCAGTTTCCTGTAAATCTCGGTGCTCCAGCACTGTTCACGTACATTTCCTGATTAATGGTTTAATTTCAGGTTTGCTCAATGGGACTTGTAGTTCTATGGACTTTCTCTTCATTACTGGTTTTGCCAGGGTGTCTGCCAGTTAATGTTCTTGTGCACGTGCTGGAACCCTTGGGATTTACATTTATTTTCTGAACCCCATTCTTCAAATTTCCCACCACGTGTTGGAGCAGGGAAACATGCAGGATGGTGTTCCTCAAGGACCAGGGTTGAGAACCACTGGTTTAAGAAAATGAGTGGAAGATGGTTTTCTGTTCTAGACCACAGCAGGGAGTTTCTCTGGTCTGCCAAAGTCCAAGGGCATCACCAAGGGGGGCCGGGATGCCCCTGCCCCACCCCAAAAGTTTGGTGGCTCCACCTTCATTATTTTAAGTCTCATTTCTCAGGATTTCTTACTGACAAAATTCAAAATGTTTAAAATCCCTCCACTCCCTTTACCAAAAAAACTTTTTTTTTAAGGACTTTATGCAGATCATCCCCACTTTTAGAAAAAAAAAAACACGTTTTCTTGTTTTAGTTTATTGATAAAAGTATGTTAAATCATTGTGTTTTGCATACTGTATGATTTTGCTAACTTGCTGTTTTTGGTGGAACAGAGCAATAGATGAACCTACATGTTGAAGCAGCTGTTAGATCATCTAGGTTTAACACTAATCAGTGTTGTGAAAAATTAAAAGGACAAACAAAAAAATGAGTCACACTTTACACATCAACCATGTTAATTCTTTTTATTGAAATGTGTACATTTTCACGTGGGCAGGGTGACATGTCAGCCCAGATTCACTTGGTTTCTTGTAGGTTCTTGTCTGACTGGGGTATTTACCAGCTTCATAATTAAGACTCAACAACCCCTTGCTTTCAGGAGAAATCACATTCTGTCTTGAATTGTTCCAACTAAACTCAGGAGAACCTCTGATTAGGACAGAACCTGTTGGAATGCTGAGGAGGCTTCAGGTGAACTTTAACAAAGCGATGGATCGGCCATTTGTAAAGAACTAAATAAACCAAAACACTGACCATGAAGTCCACATTCACCTCCTGTTGGGACCCACAACATACAAGTTCTGATTTTCTGTCCAAAACAAAAGCAAATAAAAAATAAAAAACAGGGTAGAGGTTCTTATTGGGCTACATGAACAGCCAGTCTACTGCAGAGACTGATGTATCGACAGCAAGCCACAAAATATTACAGAAAACTGAGAATATCATGTAAAGTCTCCACTTTGTGGGAGAAGAGTGTGGATATGTTCTCCAGAACAGGTCAGACTCTTAAGATTTTAAGTTGGAACTTTTGGAGAGGCTGGTCTTTGTGAGAGGAGTCGGCACCACAGCTCCTCTTCGTACCTCCAAATGTAAGGCGGCTCTCTGCGTCTCCTCAGAGTGACTTGAGTTAGTGTCCACGTCTTCTTTCACAAACTTTCCTCCATGGAAGCAGTACCACAAAAGGCATTTCATATTTGGCAAACATCCTGACAAGTTCGTAAACATTTTTTTTCTTCCCTTGTTGAAATAAAGAACAAAGCAGAAGCCATCCATCAATCCATGAAAAACAAAAAGTATCTTCCTTGTGGAAGTCAAACTATAATCGGATACATCACAGAACCCATGGGTCCTTTGGTGGATGTGAAGATGGCTTCTTCTTCTATTTTTTAATAAACTGAAACAGGCTCATAACGAAGGAGAGAAGGTTCTTCTTCACAGAACCGCTGTGAAAATCTTGGATCCGTTGCCTCTCTTCTACGAGGATCAGGTTCTGTCTCTGCAGCAGCCAGGTGGATCCGGGTCCTGGCTGCCTGAACACCATAGCAGCTTTTTATCCTTGTTTTTCTAACTTTTTCTCCTTTCACTCAACCATACACACACATAATTTGTAACACTCCTTTCTCCACCATTACGACATCCACTTACACACGCACACACACACACGCACACACACAGTTTCCAGGCAGTTGCAGTTCCTTTGCATAGTGTGTGTGGACTCTTGGGGCGGGTCCAGCTCTGTTTTTTCTGAATGTAAATGCCATAAGGCATTAAGAAGTTTACACACATTTTGGTGCAAGGAATAGGAGCACCCTCCCCCCACAGGTGACATCTTCCTGTACTTCTACCCCGACCTCGTCGCCCCCTTGTGGCCGTTACAAGTAAACGCCCCACACCCCGTGCACACGCTCTGCTGCTTCTCCAGAGGTTTCTCCTCAGGGTCTCGTTTCCCGACTCTTCACGAAGGTTTTTCCAGTAAAGTTGTGTTTGAAAGAGAGGACACGAGCCAGCGGGGACATCTGGAGAAGTTGTGTGCAAAATGGCTTCACAAATTCAACACGTAAGGCCTGTGGTAATTTATGTTGCATTGTTCAAGAAAAAAAAAGGATAAATCAAAAACAACATAACACCTAACTCTTCTTTTCACTATGAATCTCAAAATAAATAGATCTCCCTCTTTTTGTGCCTTTTTTTGCTTAAATACAAGTTAATATTTTTCTCTGATGCTCAAAAATACTTTTCTCTGAAGTGTCCTTCACAAGTTAGAGTTGAAGTTTTCACACATCCAGTGGCATCAAATTCCACAGGAGCGAGTTTATGGGGGAGGGGAAAAGAAAAAAGGGGCAATAAAGTCAGAGATTTTCAACATTTCAGGCCGTAAACAAGCCTGTGGAATCAAAACCAAAAGGAAGGGAATGAAAGATGACAAGAAAGTGTTTAAAAGGCTATAAATGAAGAGATGTTAATAAATACGATCTGATCAATACTGCTCAGTGAAGGCTGCTCAGCACCAGGCTTGGGCTCGGCGCTGGTCAAAGTCGGCTATCAGACGCTTGATGTGGGCTAGTTTGTTGTGCAGGTACTCGCAGCGCTGTTTCTCCTCATGGTAGCTGGGGTTGAGCTGAAAAGAAAACAATCCAGAAAATCGAGCTCAACGATGACATTCCCACAACGTAACACTCGGGCACAACTAAAGTCTGAACAGAGCTGAGCCTGATGCAGATTTTAATCACTTTTTGAAGAGTAAACTTTGCCTGTAGCAAAGAGATGAAAGCTTGAGCATGCTAGTGTCATGTCATTTTTGACTCAACAGATTTAAATAAAAAAAAGAATATGGAACAACTGTTTAACAAAATAACTGAAAATCCCAGCCCTCCGCCTCCACCTTTCTCTGTGTTCATCAAGTTTCAGCTCATTTCATCAAGCTGCTCTACAACAGAGCTCTGAATTATTCCATCAGACCCGTCCACCAGCAGGACAAAGGACGAGGAAACCAGCTCTGATCCCTTTGTCCTGCTGGTTCCATCAAACACACACAGCTCAGCTTTTTAAGCTCATTAGGGTCAGATCGACTCAACGATTATTCATTATTTTTATGTGAATTATGCTCGTCTACTTGTGTAGTAGTCGCTGCACCAAATGTTGAGATTTAGACTCAGTTTAAGGTCAGTTCTCATTCGTTTGCAAATTTAGACTTTTTATTTGGTTCAAATTAAAGCTGATTTAAAGAATTAAGTTGCACGGTGAGGATCAGAGGGATGCCAGCAACTGAGTCTATGTATGCTGCCGACTACAGGATTACACAGCCCAATATATATAGATTATTAAATAATTACCCTCTGGGATTAATAAAGTATTTTTGAATTGAATACTCACTTGTTTCATCTTTTTATATTCTTTCAAGACTTCTTCTTGTACTTTCTGTAGAGGAAACAAAATGTTAAGACCAATTAAAGTTAGAAATAAATGAATACTGTACATAAACAGGCTGTGTGCAGATTTAGGTTGAGAGGTTGTTGACTTAAATTTGGTTATTGAAAACGAAGAATAAAAAAAACTACATTCTGCCTCATGTAGCATCATACTTTTATCAGGAGTGTACTACTTACCTTCCTAACCTGAACTATTTTGCAGAAGTGGATGAGGTAAGCAAAGATCACAAGTCTTAAACTCACTAAATGTCTTATCTTTTATTACGCATCACTGTCAACACCTCCTGTGTTTGAAAAACTTGTTATTAAATAAGTCCTTGACCTGGTGCTCCTTGGTACCGGGTGTCAGCTTACGACACTGGGCATCAAGCTGGGTAAAGCGGCGGGTGATGCTCTCTACGTGGGCGTGCAACTGGCGATACTCATCGTACTCTGCGTTGAAGTCATCTTTGTAGTTTTGTCTCTGGTCCAGAGACACGAGCGGTGAGTACTTCCTGCAACCAAAATTAAATATGATTCATATTTTGAGAACACAATTTAAAAAAGGCCAACATCTTTACAAAACAACAAAAAGTGTTGAGAAGAAAAAAAGCTTACATTACATAGTCTGGCATCTCAAGTTTAGATGAGGATTCAGTAGACTGGACCGACTTCTCTTTGTCTAAAGAAACAAAATGAAGTCATGAACACTGGTGTCCAAAACAAACACTCGCGTGTAAACTCTTAACATCAGTGTAAATATAAACAACAACAAAAAACTACATTTCTTTTAAAATTTGTTTGCTATAGTGGAATTTTAGCACATCAAAATAAACGTCTGTCCGTCCATTAATGAAATGTAGCCACAACAGTTAAACTAAATATCATCAAATTGACCTTCACAGCTAAAGAAGGGTCTGCATACAAGGGAGAACTAGAACAAACTCCAGACTGCTCCTTTAAATAAAAAAAAAACATTTTTCTTTTGGCTCACTAGGCTGGTTGACTTACACAAAGGACATTAAATAAATAAATAAATCGACTGAAACCTTCTTAGAGGATGCCTGTAGGAGCCATCACTGTGGAAATCATTCGGTTAAGTACAACGTTTTAGTTGTTCAATATACAAGACGAGAACACAGACACATGTATACTGTATTTTATGTGTATGCTGGTAAAATAAAGCTGTTCTACTCAGTATATGACCATTAGGGGGCAGGAACCATTCAAACACAGGTTTAGAGCTTTAGGATCATTTTCAACATGTAGTTTCCTGCTCAGCCTGCCACCATTAAGCCACCAGTTAGACCAGGACTATTAAACCCAATTGTTCAGGGGCCACAGTTACTGAAAGCCAAGAGCTCAGGGGCCGGACATCCAGTAGTTATTGTCATTATGTTTGTTTTATGGTTTAAAATCGAGTTTTATTTAAAATTAATCCATTGGTGGGTTGAACTGAGCTCACCCACTAGCCTGATTTGTCCCCCGGGCCATCAGTTGAATAGTTGAGTTACACCGTTTTAAAGAACTTGCAGCGTGCCCCCTAGATTATTGGCCTTGGCAGGGCACTTGGCAGATGGGGTTGGGGTGGAGGGGGCTAGCGGAGCGCTACGTTACTAATGCTAGGTCAAAGACACTTCTCCTGTGGCTTCAATCTCTGCTCCATGTCGGAAAGTAGCCAAACTTTGTTTTTTGTGGGGGTGGTGTATTTGGTAGGCAGGGGCCCTACACTAACAAGTTGAAAGGATGCAAAGCAGCCCCTGCTGTGGTGGAGCAGGGCGTACTTTGATCAACAAATCAATTATCCTCTCATCTTTGTATGCACCGAGGCCAGGCCTACAGCCCCATTAAACCCCCACTGAAGCTGGAACCACAGCACACACAGCTTTTAGCTCTTCATGCGCTTCACTCTGACAAAATACAGAAACTTAAATAAAGATGCTTCCAAGGGTTGAAAAAGTGCACTTATTTTAAATGTGATCAGTTCTGTCCAACCATTGCTAAACATATTTAAAGCTAATTTGCTAAGGATTCTTCAAGAATCACTGGACTCTCCAGTAGTCTATCTGTCAGAGTTTACGTTCAGTGTAGCTTAGCTGTACAAACAATCATCGATACGGAGCCATACCTTGACCTTTGTGAGAATTTTTGTCAATGGATTCTTGAAAGTCTTGCTCAGCACTGCGTTTCTTTTTAACCCTGTGGTTTTCCTGGGCCTGCTCTGCTACAACAGGAGCACTAAATCTGTCTCCATGCGTTTGCTTCCCTTTATCCTTCTCTCGATCTTTGTGCTTCTTGGATTTCTTCTTAAACTTTTTATTCGTACTGCTAGACAAGGGAGGGCTAGTGATGACAGTGGAGGTAACTGTGAGAGAGGTGCAAGGAGGGGGGCTGGGGGAGGCGGCTGCTCTGGGGACAGGATGCTGACAGTGGTCCTGCAGGGTCCTATCGGAAGGAAGGGGGCCAGGTGAAGGGTCTCTGCAGGAGGAACTCTGGTCTGTGGGCAGGTCCTGGGTGCCGCAGCCTTCAGGGGTGCAGGGTGAGTTGGAGTTGGAGGCTGGGCTGGGTTGCTGACGAGATGGAGGGTGGGAAGAGATGGGCAGATGGGAGGGAGGGCCCGAAGTAACACTTGGGGGTATAGACGAGTGTTTTAAGCTGGGGCTGCCCTCGTCCTCCCGCCGGTTGGAGGAGCAGGAAGACGCAGCAGACCCCCGACTGCTAAGGTGAGAGATGCGGGCTTTCTTGGGAGCCAAAGGATCAATGAAGTCGAAGTCTTGCTGCCGTTTCTGTATCAAAAACAAAACAAATTACATCAAGAACCTCAGAACTTAGTAGGCGTGTTTATTACTATGTCCTTTTGTCCATCTACCTGAGGTGATGTGGGAAAACCGTCTTTAGGAGAACTGCTTGACAAGACTTTCTCAGTAGAAAGACCTAGTTTACTGTCAAAAAAAGGAGAGAGCGAGTACAACAGTCTTTATACATTTGTTTATAAGAACTATATGAAATATACTGGTAATCATCTGAGAGTTCAGGTTTGTTGTAAACTCACTCACCTAGCACAAAGCTCATATTATTAATCAGTAGATGAAAATCATTTGACTGGGGAGGTTTCATACAAGACAATACAAGACAATGTATGACATTGTGTCATTAACGCTGATGGATAAAACGGCATAATCTAGATACCTACTTTAGCTCTCAGCTAATAAAACCAAATGCAGGATAGAAGCTAAGTGTTTCGTTTGATGCATCATTTTTAAAACTTAATTCATCAGCATCTACATTGTCTTTCGTTTCTTTTTTTGGGGGATAATCGCACTTACGTGAAGACTTAAATTCGTGTTTCAGTACGTTACTACAAGCCTTAGTGAGTCTTTGTGTTGGCTGTCTGAGGCACATTTTCGTTGACTGTAATGCTTCAATACCAGCCTGGGAGCCTGTTCTGTTGTAATTTCAGAACTGTCCAAACAAAAATGTAAAAAAGCCTTTCAGGCCGTCTCTGTACCGAGCTAAGATCCGGTCAGCCTGGGTCTTCTCGTCTTCAGAATAGCCGGGCCAGTCTCGCTGGACGTCACGATATATAAAGTCCTTCAATGAGTAGGTGTTGTCTTTGGGATTCAGGTTTGCCACCTGTTGAGCAGAGACAACTGAAGCTCAGCTACAGCAGACTGAAACCTGTACAGCACACAGAAACCTCAGATTTCCTGTGCCTGCCATCTGTGCAGGCAAATTATGTTAAACAATTTAGTGATTTGTTTCCAGTCAATGAAGTCCTCCTACAGTGGACATAATGTCTTTAGGCATATGTGCACGCTTCAGTCACATGCTTAACAAGGGGGAAAAGATCTCCAAAATCAAGTTAAATACTCAAAACCTCCTTAAGGAACAAAACTAAGAGGCCAAGGATCTGGATATTAGTTTCAGCAGAAGTAAAAAGGATTTTCTGTGTAGCTTTGGGACATTCAAAAGTAGCGCATCATACAATGGTCTCAAAAAAAGATAGTTACTTGTTGCAGGGTGGTCCCCAGTGAGTTCCTATCCTTCTGGTTGATGCCGTCCCGCTGCAAACGGCCGAGCACCTCCAGCTTTTTGTAAGACTTCAGCGCCAGCAGGTGGACAATGCGGTCCCGGAGGGACTTCTGAGAGACGGGGTTACTGGAAAGGCACTTGCGTATCGTGTTGGCTGGGTTGATGGGTGTGGAGCGTTTGCGCTCTGGGACTACATCTGGGGCTGACAGTGCAGGCTTACGAGTATGTACTTGCTTTCCTAAAAACAAGAAAGGAAGGGACATTTTAGCCAAAATATTATTAATGCAAATGTTTTGGAATCAAAGAAACTGAATTAGATGATAGAACAGAAAAGTGTTGCAGTTAAGATGCTGCTCTCCTTTCTGGGCACTTCAACATTTCATTATACAGGTCCTTCTCAAAAAATTAGCATATTGTGATAAAGGTCATTATTTTCCATAATGTAATGGTAAAAATGAAACTTTCATATATTTCAGATTCATTGCACACCAACTGAAATATTTCAGGTCTTTAATTGTTTTAATACTGATGATTATGGCATACAGCTCATGAAAACCCAAAATGCCTGTCCCAAAAAATTAGCATATCATGAAAAGGTTCTCTAAACAAGCTATTAACTTAACCATCTGAATCAACGACGTAACTCTAAACACCTGCAAAAGATTCCTGAGGCTTTTAAAAACTCCCAGCCTTGTTCATTACTCAAAACCGCAATCATGGGTAAGACTGCCGACCTGACTGCTGTCCAGAAGGCCATCATTGACACCCTCAAGCAAGAGGGTAAGACACAGAAAGAAATTGCTGAACCAATAGGCTGTTCCCAGAGTGCTGCATCAAGGCACCTCAGTGGGAAGTCTGTGGGAAGGGAAAAGTGTGGCAGAAAACGCTGCACAACGAGAAGAGGTGACCGGACCCTGAGGAGGATTGTGGAGAAGGGCCGATTCCAGACCTTGGGGGACCTGCGGAAGCAGTGGACTGAGTCTGGAGTAGAAACATCCAGAGCCACCGTGCACAGGCGTGTGCAGGAAATGGGCTACAGGTGCCGCATTCCCCAGGTCAAGCCACTTTTGAATCAGAAACAGCGTCAGAAGCGCCTGACCTGGGCTACAGAGAAGCAGCACTGGACTGTTGCTCAGTGGTCCAAAGTACTTTTTTCGGATGAAAGCAAATTTTGCATGTCATTCGGAAATCAAGGTGCCAGAGTCTGGAGGAAGACTGGGGAGAAGGAAATGCCAAAATGCCAGAAGTCCAGTGTGAAGCACCCACAGTCAGTGATGGTCTGGGGTGTCATGTCAGCTGCTGGTGTTGGTCCACTGTGTTTTATCAAGGGCAGGGTCAATGCAGCTAGCTATCAGGAGATTTTGGAGCACTTCATGCTTCCATCTGCTGAAAAGCTTTATGGAGATGAAGATTTCATTTTTCAGCACGACCTGGCACCTGCTCACAGTGCCAAAACCACTGGTAAATGGTTTACTGACCATGGTATTACTGTGCTCAATTGGCCTGCCAACTCTCCTGACCTGAACCCCATAGAGAACCTGTGGGATATTGTGAAGAGAAAGTTGAGAGACACAAGACCCAACACTCTGGATGAGCTTAAGGCCGCTATCGAAGCATCCTGGGCCTCCATAACACCTCAGCAGTGCCACAGGCTGATTGCCTCCATGCCACGCCGCATTGAAGCAGTCATTCATGCAAAAGGATTCCCGACCAAGTATTGAGTGCATAACTGAACATGATTATTTGAAGGTTGGCATTTTTTGTATTAAAAACACTTCTTTACGCATTTTATATTCTGTATGTATTTTATATTCTTTATGTATTTTATATTCTTTATTCCTGTTGATCTTTGTTCTTACTGTAAAGTGTCCTTGGGTGTCATGAAAGGCGCTTTTTTTTTTAAATAAAATGATTATTATTATTATATTATTACTTGTTTTTCATTGGAGGGATGAAATATGCTAATTTTTTGGGACGGGCATTTTGGGTTTTCATGAGCTGTATGCCATAATCATCAGTATTAAAACAATTAAAGACCTGAAATATTTCAGTTGGTGTGCAAGGAATCTGAAATATATGAAAGTTTCATTTTTATCATTACATTATGGAAAATAATGACCTTTATCACAATATGCTAATTTTTTGAGAAGGACCTGTACTACTTCACTTATGAAATTCTAAAGTGTTATAAAAGATTAAGGTAAGAGAGAAAAAAGAAAACGCCTCCTCTCCTTAATCAGGGTAGCATGTAAACTTTTTTATTCTTCATGCTTTCCATGTAGATGTGGAGTTTTAATCATTTCCACCATCAAATGCAGCTGAAGGTTTTCATTTGTTATTAGATAAAGTTTGCATGTCAGGAATAAGTTTCAAATCACTAAAATGATTCATGAACACCATTAATGGCCGTCTTGTCATTAGTAAGTTCTAACTTTGAACCAGCTGCAATGAGTTCCTCACCCTCCTCTTTTCTCGGCAGCTTCTCTCGTTTCCCAGTTTCTATCTGAACTGGTTTCTGTTCGAGCTTGTTTATGCAAATCTATCCCTAGATCGATGTTAAAGGGATGCCTTTACTACAAGTTCATGAATTTCTCCCCAGAGTTTGCAGCACTGAACACTGATCATTCTACCACACCTTGAGTGCCTTCTGGGCTTGATTCTGCTCCAACAGATAAAGTTGGAAAGAAATTATCCATTTAAACTATAGCCTTTTTTATTAACTGTGTTAGAAAATCAGGTGAAATAAAGTTCAAACATTTAGTTTTAGTCAGACCTTATAAAAAGACTGGGGGAAAAAGTACTTTTTAGCAAGTAATCCATGAGTGTAACCCATGAGCATTACATGACATCATGGGACAGGGGATGGTGACTCCCACACAATCTGCATCCTCATGCAACACAGTAATCCAAATAAAATTCAAAGTTTGGAAACGCTGAGGAGTTGTACCAGGAAGGAGCTCAATACAAGCAGCGGTTTATTTGAGTTTTTTATTTTTTTAAACATGACCTTTGTTTATTTTAATTCTACATTGATCAATATTTGTTCTGAAATACAGTAAATGTGCAAAAACAAAACAATCAAACCGAAACAGACAAAATGTACAGGATGAAATGAGACGCAGTAATCCATGATGAATCCAGATTCGCTGCTTTCAAACCTCGTTCTTAAAGCTTCCAGATGTTCTGTTTTATCAACATTAAATTTCTCAGACTCAGGTGTATAGACGGAGGCAGCGGTGATGTGAATATTAATAAATAGTGTCATTTCCTAAGTCCACTCAAATAGCATAAAACCACTGAAATGTAAAATCCATCACTTATTTTAGGTGTAAAATAAATTACTAAAAGGTCAAACCCTTAAACTGACGAAGATCATGGTATCTCAAGTCACTGTGACATGTAATGATTAAGACACTTCAACTGAAAACATGTTTGAAATATAGTGCCCCTTTTATGCCATCTAAATTAAAACAAATAGTTTCTGTGAAAAAGTTAAACATAAATATTTCTTGGGTAGTTTTGTAAAACCATTTGAGTGAAAAAAACATAAAATCAGATGTACAAAAATTGCATCACTTGGTCCTTTAGTTGGCAGAAAAATGTCCAGGTGGTGCCTAACAACCCAACATTTCCCCCAATACACTTGTTCTCATTGGAAGTTTTTGTTTTTTGACATTTTAATTTGCAGTAACATACCACCACTCGCCTCCAAAGATGACATGAATTAGAAAGGAAGGAAAAACAGTTATTTAGATTAGTTCCTGCGAAAGTTATGCAATCCTATGTAAATTCAACAAAGTCTTAATTTGTAGCAAAAAGCGTCAACACAAGCAGAGTTTAGTGCTTGTACTGAGACACTTGGCCCTTTGGGACCATTTGGCAGGCTATAAGTAAATAAGAGAAATTCATTCATTTGCCAAATTTTGCACTCAGGCTTCTTTTTGGGGAAAAAATTAAAATAAAAAGTGATAAAGCAGTTGATAATGAGACTGAACAGAGTGGGGAGAGTTGTTAAACGTTAAAATCTTGGTGGCAGGTGGGAAAACGGATTGTTGATAAGCCAGACTTTAGTTGGGGCCTCACCTCTGTATTGGCCCCCAGGCTTGATGACTTTGGTCCCGCGTTCACGTGTGTCCTCCACAGCCTGGGTCATACGTTCCCGGGTCACCTGGTAAGAGTCGTTGGTGGCGCACACTGTGACCTTGTCCTGTACAGTCGCCAACAACGCCAGGTGTGAGGCCCCTGAGCTGGAGACAAAGACGGGCCACGGCAGAGAAACACGAGGCAGAGGGGGATTACCTTCCAGCAACGTGCAGTAAGACAGCAACAGTTGATTCAGCTGAACCGTGATTACCTCGACACATACTGATGGATGCACTCAAAGCTTCCCTGAGGGTTGTCCTTGCCCACGTTAGACAGATAGAAGTCAAAATTGTGGAAGGTATCGGGGGAGGAGTCAGTCTTGGGAATTTTAATGCGCTGCAAAAGAATGAGCCATAAACAGAATCGCTACATAAACTCATAACAAATCACCTAACTTGTGTTTTCAATAATTAAAAAAAGGAAGACATACATTTTGGTAGAAAATAATACCAAATAAACTGCAGTATAATGAGCAAGTATTGGTGATATCATTAAGTGGAAACTGAGGAAAGTAGTGCTTTAACTTGGTAAAATTATTCAATGCTTTTACTCATTTTAAAGACATTTATTTCAGACATACATCCGCTCATTCTTGCACATGATGCGTTTCATGTTGCAGACAGACTATACTCAAAATCTTACTGGGCTCCGGAGAAACTTAATAATGAACAGTTTCATTAGAATTGGCCATCATCAAGTAAGGAAGCATCGAAAAAGAAAAACTGTAATATTAAAAAAGGTAAAGTGTGAAAATCTAACATCTCACAATACAAGTTCACATAATTGACACTAATCTTGAAATATAAAGAACTCACTCCTTGGAGTCCCTTGAATTGTATTGTAGGCCGTAAAGGAGGTCCATTCTGAAAATTAGGAAACGGAACACAAAGTAAATAAAAAAAGAAAGAAGCAGGTAAAGATGAGAGGTGGATGGGTGATATTACATTTAGGTTGTGAGGTTACTTGTACAGTAATTTTTATCCAAGTAGACTTTTTTTGAACAGTGAAAAACATCTCAATATACATTAGTTCAGCAGACACTCTAAACAGAGTATTTATGAAGCATTTTTTGTTGTGTAGGTGGCAGCGTCTCCTTGAAATAAAACTGAAAACCACAAATTTGCAGTGGCTCCTGTGTGAGCAGTACATCCTAAGTTTGGACTGGAAAACACAAAACTCCCAGTTTTTCACATAGGCTGAACAAAGAGAAGCCAGTTGGCTCGACTCGTGAAGCGCAGCATTTACGGTTTCTGTACAGCACTGAATGCTGGAGCATGAAGTCAGCTTGCGCTTGAGAGAATTGATTTTAAGACAAAACTAATTTTGTTGCAGGACTGAGAGAAATGTGTCCCGGTTGTGAAGGCTCAAGTGATTCAAGATCACACCGCACTCCCTCCCCCACTCCCTCACACAGTTCTGATCACATTTCACATCACCACAGGACGACAAAGATAGCCAGCGTCCACAGTTCGACGACTGGTTCAGCTGCAGCGCACATTACTGAGGGGAAGAGAAACAAAAAGCAGGCACTTTTGGCTGCTCAGTCAGCAAGAGATGGCAGGCTGCCTGCCGTTCAGTGCAGTGAACGGACTAACACGTCCAATAAGGCTGTAGCACGGGTCAGTACAAAAGAATTTTTTTCCTGCTTAGTGAAAAAGCAGACTCTACCAGCTGTCAAACTTAATGGAAATATCCATTTATGATATCAGCCGTTACAAGAGCAGGTGGCAGCTTGGTGCTCCATCACGCAGGCGTAAATTTTATTTGTTTTTCACTCATTTTCAGGTGAGAGATTTAAGCAAAGTTTATTGTGTGTTCATAAATTACAATATACTGTAAGAAAGCTGACAGCGTTAGTCCCTTTTGTTGTAGTTTAAGTTGATTAGCTGCGGCGGCCATCTCCAATTGGATTGACTTGAAATCCGTCTAGTGGTTCACAAGATGTTCTGCTAACAGACAAACAGGGTTACTGCCAAAGTTTTAGGCGAACGTGTCGGGCGATGTGTGGTGCTCAGAGTATGTATTACTCTCAGCTACTACCACACCACATCTGACCTCAATACGTGTAAACTTAATAGAGTTATAGCCAGTTTTGTGTCAGCAAATGCCCTTTCGCTATGATGACCATATTGAATTGGATTCACTCCAGTAGGCAACGGCAAAATTTTAAACAAAACCTTGACGCCATTAGTTGATGCTCAGGGTAGGTGTTGGGGATGACAGTCAGCTACTCCCATGCCTTGTTTAGCTCCGTATCTGAAAAACTAATTGAGTTATAGCCATTTTTTGTGATTTTAAGCTCAGGCACCAACTGAGCACTTCATCCTGCAGACCCATCAGTCCTGAATGGACACCTACGCGTAGTCCCCACATTATTTAAGTGCAATGTTGGCGGCTCGAAGGGTTTAAGGTCGGGTAACTTGGCTACAGACGTCTGCAACTCAAGACTGCCGAAGTTTCTCTAGATTAGTTCACCTGCGTTAACCTGAACAGGTTACATCACCTAAACAGTTCTGGACTAACAAGTTATTTATAGTTTCTAATACATAATCAGCTGGCAATGCTTGTAAATCAGCTGGTTGTGCCACAAACATAATGGGTTTACTGAGGGCATCATATGTGGCACAGAGAAGAGGGATCCTTTTTAATTTATTTTAATAAACTGAGTAAATTCTTTCACTCTCGGCTGGAACATGTACTTTTACAATGCGCAATACAACAAACCAGTTGGTCGTGTATAATCGTATGGCTGCTGTGGGGGTCAGTTTGATGGAAACTTGTTTTAATAACCGGGTTAAAGAGCTATAAAAGGCCTGAGTGCCGCAGCAGCCCCGTATCCCTGCCAGGTGTTCGGTTTTCCTTCAGCCATATGGTAACACGACCAGACACCGACATCAAGCTGGAGACGACGCTTCCCTTCAAATTCACTTTGTTAAAGAAACATACGTCCACCCCATCCCTGACTCATAAACTTAATCGAAATAAAAGTTGAACTTGACTTAAAAGCTTTAAAAACTCGACACTTAATGAACGTTGCCACGGCACGAGCGTATTCTAACGATTTAAAACTGCCATTTTCCTTATTTGGGTAAGAATCTTCGTTAACCTGGCAAGAGGGGAAACTACTGACCGTTGAGAAGCTAACGCTAGTCGCTCGGCGGCGTCTGTAACTTAACCAAGTTTTTACAAAACAATAAACGCGTGTCAGCTCGTCAAACCCGGTTCGAACGTGAGACCAAGTGCTCGGTTACCGTATCCGAACGACTCACCGAGTGAAACAAGTTAAAATAGGTTGGAAAAACTGGGCCAAAAAAAAAAAAAAAAAAAGTCGCTCTGTCAACAGCTTAGCGTTAGCATTAGCTGTGCGTGGCAGTTTGGGCTTCCTAGCTGAGTCAAGCGGTGTCAGCGCGAGACTCCCGCTTACGAAGAAACGTACACTTTAATAGAAACGTTTCACTCACCGCGCTGTTTTGGTAATTTTCTACAGCCCTCAGCGCCGTCTCGGTCAATTTGACGTGCAGCACGGTGACTCTTTCGGCGCTTTGTTGGCCACAATTTAATCCGTAGCTCCCATCCTCGGAGAGAGCCGCCATCTTTACCAGCCCTCCACCATCGTCCCTCTGCAGCCGGAGCATTTAGCTGCACGGGCTCCCTGCGCGCGCTCGGCTCCTGGGAGGGATCACTGCTGCTGCCCACACGCGCTCGCTGCTGGATTGGTCCTAACTTGCTGCTGCTGCTTTTAATTCTCTTTTCCTTACAGGCTGTCATACGTTTTGGTTCTGTCCCGTGAATCAATAGGTTAATCGATCTTATTGAACGTGTTTGGTCATTGTAAACGTTGTGGCTTTATTTTTTTTTTTAATTTGCTGCTCGCTTCCAGAAAACGCATGCTTGGCCTTACTTTACATCCATTATGGGATACAGTAAAACACTCCTGTCTGGTAGTTCCCTTTTTCTTTTAGCTCATAAAGTTCACAAGTTTTCTTTCCAGCAACACGCGCACACACAGAGCAGAGTTTTGCTGACACGGTCAAACTAATTGCAGCCTGCTGAAAAAGTCAGAGGTAGCTGTTGTGGTGCAGCAGAGAAACTTTCTGTCAAACCATAACTCTTTTAAAACATGCACCTTTGACTGATTCATGGCTTGGCATTTCTTAAAGGAATGCATATCGCCCGCCTCCTTTCTTGCCAGAGTTGTATTGTTTAGCATAATTTTAATGGGATCAGTGGTTCTCAAATTGGGGTCCCCAGACCCCCGGGGGTCTGCAGCGCAAGCCTGGGGGTCCACAGTTTATTTATTTATTTATTTTTACAAGCACATTCAACAAAACTGCTCAGGGGGCCACAGTTTCTGAAAGCCAACAGCTCTACAATGATCATTGAATCATAAATGCAATAAATAAAATCCCCCACCCCCCAATTTTTTTTTTTTTATGAAGTGGGCCGGATTGAAGTAACCAGCGGCCGGAAATCGCCCACGGGCCGCCAGTTCAATAGCCCCGATATAGATGTTTAACAACCTGTTAAAATGCAGGAAATTGCATATACTTTATTCAACATTTTCTGGGGGAGGGGGGACCCCAGAACCCCACCCCCCCTTGCTCACTATTTGCATTCTGGCATCCATCAGTTTACAAATGAAGCCCTGTGACTTGGTCTGACTACTGCTGTTCTGATTCTCTTCAGTTTTATGTAAAGAGTTTTCTGTAATAATTTGGAGAATACATTTATTGTGTGAATAGGTAAAGTTTTAGTGTTTTTTTTTTTTTTTTTTGGATGCCGTTAATTTTCTCAAAACTGTATTTTTTGGAAGTTGAAATAAGTTTTTGTTAATTAAATGTGTTTAATTAACGTTTTAAAGTATAAAAATTGCATTAATACTATTAAAGAACAGGTCTTAAGTATTTATGTTACAGAAATATTTCCATTGCATTAAAGAGACAAACTGAAGAAAATTATTTATTAAACTTGAGGGTTATGAGGGGTCCCTGAGACCTTTTCTCCCCTGTAAGGGATCCCTAAACCCCAAAAGTCTGACAACCCCTGCCTTAGATGTCATGCTCAGAGGAAGTGTTGTGGATGACCCTAAGCTACCACCGCATCAAATTTGAGCTCAATGTCTGTTATAACAGCTGCTTTATTGCCATTTTTTGTGTTGTATAATGTCAATTAACTGTGGTGGCCATCTTAAATCAGGTTTAACCCAAAAGGCCAGTGAGTTGTAGAAGTACACTCAAAGATTATTTCCTGAAAGTCTCATTAACATTCACCCAGTTGTTCCTGAGATATTTTGCTAACAGACTAACTGCACTGACATGCCAATGTTTCATGCTCGCTAAAGTTTTAAACAAAGGTTTCACACATCGAGTAGCGCTTGGAGTATGTGGATAACCCTCAGTAACTACCACACTAAAAATTTTGCTCAGTATCTGTGAAATTTGTTGAATTACGGTGTAACCTTTTGTTTTTTTTTTGTGTTTTCTCAGGTCAGACAATAGTAGGGGCTATCTCAAATGGAACTGATCCAAAAAATATTCAGTTGTCGAGGCACACCCAGTGAGTATTTCCTGAACGTTTTAATAAACTCCATCCAATCATAAGATAATTTGCTAACAGACAGAGTTGATTTCAAATATAGTTACCAGCATTAGCAAAATGCTGAACAAAGGTCTTGCCGAAGCTGTTGGTGCTCTAAATATGTGCTGTGAATGACTCTAAGCTACTACCATTCCAAACTTAAGCTCATTATCTGTAAAACTGACAAAACAATAGCCTCTTAAAGTCAGTTGGCTGTGGCAGCCATCTTGAATCTGATTTATGATCAATTAGTTGTAGATATATCTAATTATTACCTTCTTCACAGACATGGACAAAAACATCATCCACCTTTTGTTGCCAGCGATAGTCATTCAAATTTATCAGCTGAGCTCCCTCATTGAAGTAATAAAAACTTGTGTTGTTAATATTTTCAAACTGCATTTAGAGCCGTAATGTGGAATCTGTAGGGTATTTTAATCACTCGTCATTTAACGTGACATCTACAATGGAGCCATGCATTCTTCCTGTCAGCTGGACTATCTAGCAGTGTCAGTCCCCTTCACGTGGTGATTAGTGGTGTAGGCCTGGGCAGGGTGGGGAAAGGCTTGTGTGAATCCAGCAGATTACCGTAGCTCTTCACCCCACCCATTCCCCTGACTCGTCACACAGTTGCACGTACGCAGGCCATACGTTTAAAACTCCGCAGTTCATTGATCAAATTAAGAAGTGGCTGTTTTCAACACGAGTGCGTGAACACATTGTGAAAAGTGATGATCACCGCCTGCGTGTTTACCTGCAGACAATGCTGGCTTAACTGTGTTTAGTTTACATTCCTGCGCTCTCCTTCGTTGAACCCGTGCACGTTTAAGAACTTACTCGGCTGCATTCAGTTTGACAGCTCGCCGGCTGTGCAAACAATAAAGTTAAACCTTTGGGTGGATATGACTCACTGATTTTTAAACTTCTCTGTTTACGGAAGCCGTGAAGGTGTCGGCCCGATGGAAGCTCGGGAGTATCGTGAAATTACGCTCCCCTTTGTTTCAAGACAAGAGTTGCAACACACAAAGTTCGCTGCTTCTTCTTTCAGCGATGAGGATGGAGGGGAGAGAAGGTTTGAAAAATGTTGTGCCGTCCCTCTTTTTGATTAACCGTTCCCAAACACCACAAATATTCAGGATTCAAACTTTGGTTCCTGCTTCAGAGCTTATCCGGGGTACATGTTTTGGTGATGAAAACGTCATTAACAATCAGTGATAAAGATGTGTTTGCTTTGTTTCATAGGGCTAATGCCTGGAGAGGCAGTTTTACTTCATTTGTGATGTTTAACACAAACAAAAACACCTTCTAAAATCTCTTCCTGGCCCAGTTTTTATATGCCCGTTGAAAGCAGGACATATTATGGTATAACCTTTGTATCATGCAGCATCACTAGAGGGACTGTCATGTACACAAATCAAAGTTAAATGTTGCACAAGGTCTTTGCTTGTCTTGTTGTAGCTCGTTGGTACTCTTGTTATCTTTATCATAAACACTTGTAGTTTTTTAAATTATCACATAAGAAAAGGCTGGAGAACAGTGGTACATGCAGTGCAGTAGTCCCTCGCTACTTCACTGTTCGTTTTTCGCGGACTCGCTCTATGGCGGTTTGTTTAAGTACAGGATTGTACATAGTATTTTTTTTTTTTAAAGCACTGCCATTTTGTAGTTTTCTTTCATTAAGCCTTCACTGTTTTGCCAGTCTAAACAACTACATTACCCAGAAGCCATCAGTTCACTTTCCAGAAGTCAGCACTGCTTCCAACTGCTGCTTGCTGCAAACCGAGGGAAAGTTTTGCAACCAAAGTCAGAAGTAACGATACTGAGCTCACAGGACTGGCAGGAAACCAACATTTTTCAGTCAGGTCATCTGGACAGTTTCTTTTTTTGTGCTGAAACATTTCGCCTTCGATCCAGAAGGCTTCATCAGTCGAGGAAACGCACAACAAAACTGATTCTTCCCCCAACAAACCAGTTATGTTGGTGCTAAGATGGTCTCTTTGGTACGTCCCTCCTCCATTGCTGGCCCTCTTCCTTGTTGACAGTCGTGTCAAACTGGTTGAAAAAAGTCAGTTTGACACGACTGTCAACAAGGAAGAGGGCCAGCAATGAAGGAGGGGGTGTGACAAAGAGACCATCTTAGCACCAACATAACTGGTTTGTTCCACTTTGGAGTAAGCTTTTGGGGGAAGAATCAGTTTTGTTGTGCGTTTCCTTGACTGATGAAGCCTTCTGGATCAAAGGCAAAACGTTTCAGCACAAAAAAAGAAACTGTCCAGATGACCTGATTGAAAAATGTTGGATTATATACCTGGATTATTGAGCATGGACTTTGTTGACTGGCAGGAAAGTATCAAATAATCCTGAAGATGAACTCATCCTTCAAATTGTATCTTCACTGCTGAGTAGCTGGACTGCAGTTGATCTGGACTCAGTGTGACCCGGATCCTGGGACCTGCAGGGGACAGACGCCTGTGGGGTTCAGCCTGGTTCTGGTCACACGGTGCTGGTCTGGACCAGGCCAGAGGTGGTGGATTAAACCCTGGGCAGCCTTGCTCTTGGAGCATCAGCGGTGGGCTTCAGTGCTGCACCAGGACTTTATTTCATCTATCGGGTCGGACGGAACCGAGCCACTCCTGTTCTGCAGAGCCCTTGTAAGTAAAATTTTGTAGCTCCTGTACATATAAGTACTGTTTTTAAAATGATTAGGTTTAAGAGTTTAGTGGACTGATTGTGGGCTTCGTTGCTGCAGGACAGCTCTGCAGAAACAAACCAAGTCAGACTAGAACAGAGTTGGACCAGAACCAGAGCTGTTGTTCTGCAGCGCCAGTACGTAAAATTTAGTAACATATGTTGTTAAAATGACATAGGTTAAAGAGTTTAGAACATTCCAAGAGTGTGAAAAGGGTTTCTAAATCATAAAGTTCATTGTACTTGAACTTGAACTTGAACTACTGTATCCCTATGGATAGTTCAGATTTTTGGGTGATTCTGTGGGAACATTTTGAACAATTAAAGGGATAGTCTGGTCATTGCTGACATGATGCTCTTTCAAAATGTT